CTTGTTTCTACGAGACTTCGGACCGCAAAACCATATTTCAATTAGAGGTGCGAGCCCTTAAATAAAATATTTCCCGACCTTTTCGCAGCACCGACCGGTGGGAAAATCGCACTAGGGGTAGGCGATGTAAATAGAAGGAAAAAAAAGGTTGTGGGTAATAAATTTCACCTATCACGAGCAGCCCTGTGGCTTCTTTTGTGAACTCAAAGTACTAAAAGTGCTAAATTAGGGAGTTAATTCTATTGTTTATGATTTTATGCCAAAGAAGCTTAATTCTATATTATTTTGACAGTTTAAAATTTTGTTTAATATTTAATGCATGTTAAATATTTAATTTAGAACTGTACAATTATATGAAAGGTGTTTTTTTGTAGTGCGTGCATTTTTTCCAAAAAAAATTAGATATTTTGCTGAATATAAACAATAAAGCTTTCAGAACCTCGAAATCGTCGTTCAACAAAGTTGAAGAGGTAACATTTCGGCCACCTGTATAACAAACAATTTAAATGAAATAAAGGAACCTACGTTGTGTTAAATATATTTTTATTGCGAATTACCTCGGATGCGCCCGACAGGAGCAATATTTTAGGAAATTTTGAAGAGAAGAGCTATGTAAACGAAACGCTACATTTGTAAATAGCCTTACTTATATTATTAAATGAAATGAAAGGAGTGCCGTACTCTGCCTAGAATTCACAAGTAAAAGAGCACGGCAGAGAAATCTTAATCACTATTCCAAAGAATCCAGCTTTCTGAACTTTAATAAAAGAAATAATAATAATACAAAAATTATACTCATATCAAGGTTGGTAGTTTCATACATTCAGAACATGCCACATATGTTACATTCAAAACGGAAGAGGTTTTTGTTAGTTTAACGGGTCCCCACCCGTAGGCATTTATACATTCCGTACATGTATACGGCACCTAGCACAATCCCATTGGTCAGATTTGAATTTTAAACCAATTAAACTCCCAGTGCCATACGCGAGTATGGAATGTAAGATAGTGCCATGCGCACTTACGGAATGTACAGGGTGGACCATTTTGGTTGTTTCTATAGGGTATCTAGAAAACCGTGAGAAATATTCAAATTTTGATACTGCAGTCTCAGGTTCTTTTTTTGAAAAAATTACAATGGCGCAAACGGATCGTGGCTATCTTGATCGGTTTCGAAGCTACAGGGGGATTCTCAAATTTTGTACTTTTTGAAGATGTTCGATAGTTTGTTTATTTCAGCAACCACGAAAAAATGAATTATACATTCTAAAGGCACTTTTCTGTGTAGAATGCAGTGGCATAGTCAGACTTTTTTCGAAAAAAAATATTTTTTGAGATATTAACTATACTTATGTTTTTTTAAATAGAACCCCCTGTATATTTTTAAATTTTCTTATTCAGCTTGGCATGGGCTTCTCGAAAATATATAACTCTCTATATTTATTTTCACTATTAACCTCAACATTTCAAATTTTTCTTAAAATATCCACTTAGTGGATAGTAGGCCGCGACGAGGAACAAAGTAAACAGTTGTCATGGTGATCGGAACATAACTTTGATGGATGCGGAACATTTCATTTCAACAGATTGAAGTCTAACAAACATAAGCAAATGGCAGCTGATTTATATTTTGAGCGGTATCCAGAGCGCGAGCAACCAAACCCAGTCATTTTTAAAAGGTTAGAAGATAGTTTAATCAATTTTGGATCTTTTCAAAAACCGCGTCACAAAAAATTATCAGAAAGAAGATGAAGAAAATCAATATATTATTGTCCTCGGAGTTAAATGAAATGGAATAAATACCCAGCAAATAAAAAATAAGTGTGACAGAAACAAAAAAAAACATATTTTAATATAAACTCTAGAGGTTACTTCAATCGGGCTTCTCAGTTAATATAAAAAAAAAATAAAAACACAAAGACTACATTAAATGTTCAGACTGCTGCCCATTATTATCTAGACAGAGTTGGTACCGTCTTCGCACGCCGCCGCGCGCCGCTAACAGAATTTCGTTAGGGTTAGACTCAATATAACATTCTAACATATTATTATATTTCTCAAAATTTTCTTATTTACTCAATATTTTTTTCGAAAAAAGTCTGACTACACCACTGCATTCTACATAGAGAAGTGCCTTTAGAATGTATAATTGATTTTTCCGTGGTTGCTGAAATAAACAAACTATCGAACATCTTCAAAAGTACAAAATTTGAGAATACCCCTGTAGCTTCGAAACCGATCAAGATAGCCACGATCCGTTTGCGCCATTGTAATTTTTTCAAAAAAAGAACCCGAGACTGCAGTATCAACATTTGAATATTTCTTACGGTTTCCTAGATACCCTATAGAAACAACCAAAATGGTCCACCCTGTACATACCTGGTAATTATGTTCAGCAGAAAGTAACGCCTTAGCTAATCTTGCAAGAGTAGCTGTGGCTCCGTGATAAGGCCATCGTTTCGTGAACGAGAGGTTCAAATCTCACGCCGGACCATAACTTTTTTATTTTTTTACAACTGTTTTTATCTTTAAAAAAAAGCTGTAAATATTTAATAGCGTTGGTTTCACTCTTTTTGGTGGGGTTAAATTGATTATTTGGTGGAGGTAGTTGCGTTGGTTAAGATGGTTATTTTTGGGGTTGATTGCGTTGGTTAGGTTAGCTATTTGGTGGAGTTGGTTTGGTTTTGGTTGGAATGCTCTATAACAAAGCGTTAATAGTAATGTCTAAGGTACATTCCGTAAGTGTATATGGCACTGTCTTACATTCCATACTCACGTATGGCACACCCGTAGGTACTAATGCCCTGATAGCGGAAATAGAAGCTAAAGTTGAAGGTTTGGTGCAAATATCTTTAGATTATAAGTAATTCTATGAGTTATTTTATTTATTGTTTTTGTTTGCTCTTTTGTGAGCTAAGATATTCGCCCATTCACGGCCAAAAACTGTTAGTACATTACAAGGCCCTTATTCTCACACTGAACAATCATCGGCACAAATGGACAGTAGACGATTGTATTTGCATTATTTTTAAACTGAAATTATTCACAGCATATAAGTAAAGTCTTTACACATACATAAAATCTTTAGCACAGAATATTATAACAGGCAAATAAGCTATATGCTTTAGTTAACACTAGTTAAATAATGGGGGAAAACATTTACTTTACCTTTAATAACACTCTTTGTCACAAAACTTACGAACAAAAATACCATCAACGCGTCTCGAATGGTAGTCTAAAAGCTATTATTTAACAACTATTATCTCTAGTCGTCGTCGCCGTCGCCTGATTTTCCTCTCCCTAGTTTGCGAATCATATTTTAAAAATCAATAATTTTATTTATGTATACAAAGTGTCTTAAAATGAATAATTTAGATTTAAAGAAATATGCTTATTTTTAAACAGTTCCCACCGTTATTTAGAAATAATCACAGATTTGCTCACCTCATTTCGGTGGACATAAGTAAAGGCTGATAAAAATGTTGTATCCCTGTATTCTAAACAGCTACCTGTTTAAATAAATTCGGAAAAAAATAAAATCAATTTGTCATCGAATTTTTTTATTAATATTTCGAGAAATTTTCTCTCTCAGATTTTAAATGATGTTTTATTTAATCTTATTCCCAGATACCAATAGACACCCCCGAATTTGAGATTGAGTGTATAGAAAAAAAGAAAAAAATATATTTTATTTATCCGTAAGATCATTGAACTTTATCTTTTGCTTTCCAGTAAATAGATGTTATCCTTGTAGTAATAAAAATGATGAACAGATTAAAGGAAACGGGTTTCTTAAGGATATAATCAACTTGTTTTCCTTTTCTCCATTTTCGACTTTTTTCCTCCTTATGGTGTAATTTAATAAATACCCTTCAAGCTGTGACTGATTTTCACACGTAACCGTGTGTTTTTTCGGGTCAATTATTTTTCTTTATGTAATTTTGGCTTTCAGAAGCAGTGAAGTAGGAAAAATATTAAACCTATATTTAGGTGATAAAATTTAACCAATATTTGTTTTTATAAAATCATAAAACCAGATTAAAATAAACTTCTGTGAAGTTTGTATTTGTATCCTACTGAGACTGTTACTCCTAACCAAAGCATAGTTTATTTCAAATAAACTTTTAGTCACGTGATTAAGCTTCAACAGTGTTGCCCACTTTTACATATTTTCTTTTAATCAAAATATTTTAGGAAACAAAAATAAATTAATTATAAATATATAAAAAAGTGAAATCGGTTAAATAGCGGCGACGATAGCGCACATTGTCTATATTGTTATGGCGGCCGTTTTGTTTAACGCACTCCAAACAAACGCAACATCTGTGACGTTGTCACCATAAAAATTAATCGAATACATAATTTTTCTGATAAAACAATTCCACTGGCACCTTCCCTTCATGAAGTTTCCCACGGGAAGCTATTTTTATACGTTGTGCTCCCCAACTATAATGTAAATTATTTATTATTATAAATCATTATTTTATAAAATAAGATAATTGTCAAATAATAAACGACAACGTTGCTGATCGCGGCGGAATGTGACCAACATGGCGATAATAAAAATCGCTATAAACTAATTTTTGCAGATTTAATATAAATAAAATATATATGTTATATATATGTTAACTATATGTTATATACAATTATTTGCTCTATAAAGTAAAATGAAGAGCTGCTCGTTATCTTAAATTATATAACAAATATAAAGATTATTGCCAAAATTTTATTTAGTCAGGTTTATAGGCTTTAGTGTCAATTTCGATATGATTGATGACGTGCATAGAAAAATGTTTTGCGATTACTGTATATTACATGTCACCTGTAACTTGAAACTATTAATTTCTAACCTACTAATTTCAACAATCTATATCAAGTTCTATATCTTAACTGAGCCATAAGCTTTTTATATCTAATAATTATTATTAGTCTTCTAGTTTATCTAACAAATTCTTGATTACAATCATTACTAAAGAATTTTAAACCTTAAACATTTTTAGGTGAATTTTGTTATTTTCGTGAACAAACCTACCTATCCAGACCTCATCAGTAACAGTCGTCACGTGCTGCACAGCTATTTTTATCGTAGTTTCATATCAAGTATCGAAACTTTACTCTATATCGGTTCGACAATGCCTTTTCCTGAAGAGCACGGTACCACTGGATTTGCCGCTGCCGTCGGCAGATTCTGGAGACCCTGGCACCACATATACTCGAACTGCAAAATTCAGAAGAACCAAGGGGAGCATACACCTCTATATAATCCTTCAGGTACAAGTATAGGGGTGATTCTGATAAAACTGATACTTTTTTTGTTATTTTTTATATTTTGTACCGGGTGGCCAACTAAGAATGGACGCCGGCTGTATCTGTTAGATTTGTACAAGAAATGCAGGGTGAAATAATACAACGAGAGATGGTATAGTTAAATTATATTTTCGGTAAAATATGTAAAAACGACATGAACAACGTAGTATCTCAGAACTACTTATCGTATAACTTTGAGAAAAAAATTCTAATAAGTAAATCGACCAAGAGAAATCGCTGGAAATGAGTTTCAAGTTCAAAAAATGCCCGATAGGGGGCGTTTTTCTAATAGCCAATCAGAAAACAAGGCTTTTCTCAAAAATATGCAGGTGAACAGGTATTTTAAATATTACTGTTGTAAACATCGAGAAATTTGTATTTTTTTTAATTTAGAGTATTTTGCTGTATATCATAAAATAAAGTAGTGGGGGAAGGTTAAACTTGCTTCTTCTTGCCTTTTAGGGTAGCCTAAACTCTAGTTTAGGCTACCCGATTACCAAACTAGGGCTCGTTTAAAAGAGCTTTTATTCCTTAATGATCTCCAGTATAAATTTTATTTCCACAATTTTTTCATGGTAGCTAGAGGGCGCTGTTTGACATCATAACAGATATTGCGCTTTTGCATAAAAAATTTAAATAGGAGGCTATATTTCTCTTTGTACAGTTAAATAGAGCACAAAATTTCCAAAATATTAACACAAACCGCAATTTTCTATCTACTCTCTAACCGGAGATATTAAGAGAACAAATCATGTTAGGCTGCCGCTTAGGATTGATTATATGGTATAAAGATTATAGTAGTAGGCTAGGAAACAAAAAGAGGTAAACTGGTTACTTCAAAATATCAAAACGTTTAAGTTCAGTTTTCATGCATCCGAATTTCGGGCGTTCTCTTAAAAAAATGACGTCATAATTATTTAAACGTGTTTATAACAATGTGTGTTACAATAGCATGAACTACATTATCATCCATCCATATAATTCTTACGGATTTCTTGGTTAATTATACACAAATAGTTCTCAGATTAAAATGTCGGAAAGTCGGGCAATCAATAATTTTATTAAAATTTCTAAGAAATTTGTGCCGCTATATTGCTTTAACAGAAAACGGCCGAATTTCGTATGGCAGTAAAATGTTCTTCGTCTTTCATCTAAAAGATTGCTTAATTCGCATCAGCTTCACAAGAAGTCACGTGACGTGGCGACATTTTTTACTAAATATACAGAGTAGGCCACTGAAAACTTACAATGGCTATAATTTTTAAACCAAAAAACATATCAAAAAAATAAAAAATACCGTTTCTATAATATCGAGGGGGAATACATATGACGTATTTTTTGAACCACCCTGACCTACCCCTTAGGCGGCACCCCTACTCACTTGAAAATCTTAAATAGCAACAGCCCACTTGTGGCGCCTTTTTGGAAAGCCCATCAAAAATGCTAAACGGTGATCATAAAGTTTTTAGGGTGAAATTGAAAAACTACCCCTTACACGAAAAATTAGGTGGACATTAATGAAAAAAGTGATGTTTCAGTATAAGTTACAAATTGGGACCCAGCTAAATGAGGCAAATGAGGTATTTTTCAAACCACCCCAACTCACCCCTAGGTGTCATCCCCTCACTTCTAATCTCATCAATACCATTTTGAAACCATTGCCATTTTGAAGCTAAAAATAAAAAATGTACATAATAAAAAAGGCAATACAAATATTTTTTACTAATCGTTCGGCCTAATTTTGCGATAACGCAAATTCTTTCTTATCATCTATTTTTTTACTTTCAACAAATAGGAGTGCATTTTCAATACTCTTCTGACAGATGTTCGAGGTATACCTGTGATTGATGCCAACTGGCGTGTTGATGCTTCTGGATTGACCGATACCTGACCAATAACTTCCATCTGCATTTCTTCATTCAGTACCCTGGGCCCTGTCCTTTTTTTATTTTTGACCGATCCAGTTACTTGAAACTTTAGAATCAAATCTCTAACATAAACGTAACATAACCGTTTCCAAATAGCACATACCTTCAGCACCATAAAGAAAAACTATTTGAATTCTTTCTTCCACAGTATAAACCATTTTTCTTTCAAATAAGCGAATCAAATAAAGGTTTAAAATAACACCAAATTTGCAAACGATTGAAAATCGATAAAAGACAGTGCAAAAACGCAAAGATTTTTTAAGAAAACGTTTTAAGATTCCTGTTTGTTGAAAGTAAAAAATAGATGATAAGGAAGAATTTGCGTTATCGCAAAATTAGGCTGAACGATTAGTAAAACATCTTTCTGTTGCCTTTTTTATTATCTACATTTTTTATAGCTTCAAAGTGGCAATGGTTTCAAAATGGCATTGATAAGATTAGAAGTGAGGGGGTGGCACCTAGGGGTTGGTCGGGGTGGTTTGAAAAATACCTCATTTGACTAATTTTGCTAGGTCCCAAAATCACTTTTTTCATTAATGTCCACCTAATTTTTTGTGTAAGGGGTAGTTTTTCAACTTCACCCTAAAAACTTTATGATCATCGTTTAGCATTTTTAATGGGCTTTCCAAAAAGGCGCCATAAATGGGGTGTTGCCATTTAAGATTTTCAAGTAAGTAGGGGTGCCGCCTAAGGGATAGGTCGGGGTGGTTCAAAAAATACGTCATATATATTCCCCCTTGATATTATAGAAACGGTATTTTTTATTTTTTTGATATCTTTTTTGGTTTAAGAATTATAGCCATTGTAAGTTTTCAGTGGCCCACCCTGTATTATGGTAATATGGTAAATTCACAATTGTCAAGTTTTGTAAATATGTCTAGATAGAGATGTAATTTTACTACAAAATTGTATTTCTGATTTAAATTTAATTTTTAAACTCACAAAACTCATTTTGAAAATAATATTGTTTAGTAATAATCATTTAATATTAATAAACTGGTTTTGCTAAATTAGATTTTTTTGTGAAACTGTGCAAAAGCATCTTTATTTTACAAGTTTCTTACTAAAAATACTCTAATGTATCAATCTTTTTTTGAAAAATTACTTCTATTTTTTTCATTGTATGACCAGTCCGACCCTGGATATACCTAAACATTTTAATACATACTATTTTTCTATTTTATAGTAAAAATAAGCAAAATAAAACACTAATTTACCACAATAATAACACTTCACTTTTGCACTTGACCATCATCAGCAGATGATTAAAACATATCAAGTTTTAGTCATCTGTTGATGATTCTAACATGTTAAAATCCGTATATACAGGGTGTCATTGAAATGGTGTAAAAATCAGGGGGTGATAGTACTCCTAAAAATAGTAAAAAAAGTTCCTATAAGTATAGGGCGGAAAATGCATATTAAGGGAGTTAGGGGCACTGAAAGGGTGAATTTAAAAAACGGTTGTTTTGATATTGTAGGCTTAAAAAACGAGATAAAATTTCGAAAAAAAATGCTTTGCCATAAATTTTGACCCTAAATCAAATGGTGATACTAAAAAATTGTTTGGAAAAGCGCAAAGGGTAGTTTTTGCAAGGGTAGGGGGTTGTTTCGTGAATAACTTCTTAGAGGTTATTTTTTTTGCAACGTGGGTTCATTTTTTGAAAAATACACACTTTTTCCTACAAAAAATATACTCTTGTTGCACATCGCCCAGAGCGATGGTTTTCGTGAAAATTGAAGGCAAAGACTTTGCTCTGATGGGTTTGTATCAACATAAACTTATGAAAGTTATGGCGGTTCAAAAGTAACCAAGTAGTTACCAAATAATTAATTGAACAATCAACATTTTATGATTTTTAAAATATCTTATTGCTTTAAAAAACGAAATAATCCACTAGATTTCTACTTCTGGGGCCACTTTGAAAGCTTTGGTTTACTAAGTGCCGATTAATACTGAAGAGCAACTACGGCAAAGCATTATTGACTGTTCCAATCAAATTCGGACAACACCAAGGATATTCCACTTGAAGAAGATGTCTGCATTGAAATAAATGGTGGTCACTTTAAACATTTACTATGAATGAATTAAGGAATGCATTATTTTAATAAGGAATTTTGGTAATTGGTTTATTTCGTTTTTAAAGCAATAAGATGTTATAAAAATCATGAAATTTTGATTTTCCAAGTTATTATTTAATAACTACTTGGTTACTTTTGAACCGCCATAACTTTCATAAGTTTATGTTGAGTAGCAACCCATCAGAGCAAACTCTATGCCTTCAATTTTCTCGAAAACCATCACTCTGGGCGATGTGCAACAAGAGTACCTTTTTTTTAGGAAAAAGTATGTAGTTTTTAAAAAATGAAGCCACGTTGCAAAAAAGATAACCTCAAAAAAGTTATTCACAAAACAACCCCCTACCCTTGCAAAAATTACCCTTTCTGCGTTGATGATGTTGATTAACCAGTTAGCAACCCCTCAGAGCGAACTCTTTGTCTTCAATTTTCTCGAAAACTATCGCTCTGGGCGATGTGCAACAAGAGTATCTTTTTTGTAGGAAAAAGTATGTGGTTTTCAAAAAATAAACCCACGTTGCAAAAAAACCAACCTCAAAAAAGTTATTCACAAAACAACCCCCTACCCTTGCAAAAATTACCCTTTCTGCGTTTCCAAATAATTTGTCAGTACCACCATTTGATTTAGGGTCAAAATTTATGCTCTGCATTTTTTTTCGAAATTTTATCTCGTTTTTTAAGCCTACAATTTCAAAACAACCGTTTTTTAAATTTACCCTTTCAGTACCCCTAACTCCCTTAATATGCATTTTCCGCCATACTTATAGGAACTTTTTTTAGGAGTACTATCACCCCCTCCCCCCCCCCATTTTTTTACACTATTTCAATGACACCCTATATATAATAGTGCAAAAATGAAGTGTTTTGGTGTTTTGTAGTGAATTAGTGTTTTATTTTGCTGTTGTAACACCAAAGGTTGAAGGGTTCCAACCCCCAACTGTAATATTAGAAATCATTTATTTTTTCAGGAAAGTACGTTGTTCGTCTCTTCTGGATGGGCTCGTGGAGAAAAATATACGTTGACGACTATCTTCCTCTAGATAAGTCCGAAAATTTGCTACTCCCAACATTGATTGCTCCAAAGAAAGACATCGAAGTGGTCGATGAAGAAGCGGATAAAAGTCCGAAGTCTCAAAAGAGCACCAAAAGACCCAAATCGAAAGATCGAAGTCTTTCCAGAAAAGAAACTGTGGAAATTTGGCCCTTTTTACTTTGTAAAGCGTTGCTGAAGATAGGATGCCTTAGTTGGAGCTCTAAAAGGGAACTAAACCACTTTGATATTATACAGTGTCTTACCGGATGGGTACCTCAGAGGATTCGTACAGATGGTGCAGATTTTCTGTTTATTTTTTCAAAAAATACATATTTGTACCGTGCTATTATTTTAATTTGTCCCAAAAAAATAAAGGGTCTAGTAAAAAAAGAAATTGTACTGTTTTTTGTTAAGTTGTATGCCGTTGAGTCAAAAATTGTATAAACTGTCAAATGCCAAAATTATTGACATAACTTACTTTTTTTAAAAATACTTTTTTTCTGATTACGAAAATATGCCACACTTGCCCTTTCTTTTCATTAGTTTAGCACAAATTCGTATAAATATGATTAAAATTATAATTTTTCAACATCAAGCTATTCGCGTTTGTTATTTTGTTTCCAAGAATTGTCATGGTTTTTATAGTTATAGTTCTATTATGATATAGAAAATTTTCTGGTTTGTAAACTCAGAACATTTTAGTAAATTACTCAAATCTAAGAGCAATAAATTTATTGAATAATGAGATACATCCAATTTACAAATAGCAAACAATTTGAAAAAATGAAAATTATTTTTTGCACTTATAAATGCTGCTCCGCGTGACCTCCTCCATTTTCTCATTTGACAGTTTTTAGAATTTTTGACTCAACGGCATAAAACACTACAATTTCTTTTTTCAGTAAACCTTTTAACTCAAAAAATAAATATTTTACAGCCTTTTAAAAGTGGGACAAATTAAAATGAAAGCACTGTACAAACTGTACAAGCTTTATTAAGAATATCGAAATTAGTGGAAAAATTAGCCGTTACAATGAATTTACGACATTATCATTGACAATGTCTAAAAAAATATAATTAAAATTAGTAGAATATTCTAGCAACAGCTTTCAGTAGTCAGTTGTAAAGCTAATAATTAGCTTATAAAACAATAAATTTCTCATTTCTAACCACAATTTCTCTTGGCGGATCCCAAGTAGCATTTTTCGACACATTTTAGATAATGTTTCTTATAATTGTGTCTGTTTCTTGACACAATATGGAAACGGTGTGCCACAAATAGGAATCATTTTCGAAACCTATACATTTTATATGGCTTTATTACATGTGTTTCCAATGTGGCGGCACTAGTCGTTTCCTAAAATGTTTCGATGCGGAATCAAAACTTTTAGAGGAAATGTTTCGAAACATTTTCTGCAATTTGTGTCCAAGGTGTTACTGTTTTCAACAGCCACTGTTTTTAAATGTGAAGAAACAAAATACCAAACTAAAATAGTCTGTCTGTCTGTGGATTTCAAAATGAAAACAACATCAACAATGTCGACATAATTTCTTTTCTCTCCACCATAATCTTTTTGTTTTTAGGTTTTCTCGCACAAAGAATGTCTGGCAAAAGCAAATTCATCGTTTAATTTAATAATGTACTTTCATATTTTTAATAGGTCTTCTATATATCATTATTTGTTGCTACAAAAATTTTTTGTTTAAAATACATATAGATTTTTATTTTTATTTCTATATATAATAAAAACATATATTTTTAATTAAAAACGCTATTACTAGCCAGCATGACGAAATTTTATGTCATTATTTTATAAAATTGACATGGAGTCGGACACAAATCATCTATATTTTATCATATTTGTGTCTAAAAAGAGAGAAACTCGTGCTTTGAAAATAAATGGACAATAAATGGGAACTTTGTTTCCAAAATGTTTCGATTTAGCGCTATCTGTTTAGAAACAGAGGTAGAAATTTCGAACTAGTCATCTGTCAACAACACCAGTCAAAACTTCTGGTCAAAACAATTAAAACATTTTTATTTACTTATTACAACGCAATTAAAACATGTATTCCATTGTCATTTTAGAAAAATGAGAAAAAAACTTGCTGGTAACATTTTTCTTCGGTCTTCTCCTAGGTATGGGGAGTGGTTGATATTGCATTTATTCCTAAAACAAATAATCATCTCTGTAATGCGCATAATGAATAATTATAAAATCGCATAAGAAAAGTATCTGTATTCCAAAAATCTTGTAGAATGCTTAAAATTAAAAACTGCAGAACAAAATCCAAACAATAAAATAAGGTTATATTCTCATATTTCACAGAATATCAAATAAATTATGGAAACTTTTCAGGCACCGGGTACGAAATCTTTGTAAAATGAGCCACATCTCATGTTTCTTAAAAGTTCCGAAAAATTTGTGACATTAAGATCTTTATTGTTATAGCTTATGTAGCGAAACCATATTTTGATAAAATGTTTCCAAACAAAAAGCGATTTATATTACGAAACATATGCATCAAAAATGTGGCGAAACTGTTTCGCAATGTTTTTCAGCAAATATTTTGTTTCGATTTTGTCTCTAAAAATGCTACTTGGGATGATAGTCAAAGGCACAAAATGACACTACTCCCTAATTCTGAAGTGTAATTTAAATAATTATTATTTTTAAATAATAATTATTAGTTCTTTCAAAGGTTTTTTCATTAGATAAAGCAACTAAAAAAAATAAAAAGCTTAATAAATTTTAGTTTTGAATTCAACCGATCTTTGGGAACTTCTAATGGCGTATGTAAGACCATTTGAATGGGACGAAGACAAGAAACATAGCAGTTCATCGAAACAAACTGCTTCTTCAAAACAATCGAAAATGACCAGTAAAGAGACGGGAAAGAAGTCAAAAACTGTCATTCCTAGCGGAATAGAAAATATGAGGGAAGGAGACTATTTTGTTATAGCTGCTTGCGACAATTTTGAGTAAATGTATAAAATTTATTTTGGTTTTAGGTACAGTATGTACCAAAAAGTTCATATCAACTGGGGAAACATTATAATAAATAATAACGAGTCCTTGAAAAAAAGTTTATTGAAATTATCATGCCAAAAAACACAATGGTATACAAAGAGGCCCACCTCATTCGCCTCGGTTGATTACACCAAAATGGAAAGATGTAGAAACAACATTTTTTGTGGGCGTATGTGGGGAGGCAACGTGCAAAATTTAAAATTATTTTGAAATATATAGGGTGTTTCAGAACTAAGATCCATATCAAAGTTATATTTTTTCTTGTGGGACATACGGTATTTTATTCCATTTTTGAATTCTTGGAACCAAAAAAGGTATTTTATTTATCCACGACTCGTCTATAATTTTATTATTATACATGAGTTTATAAAATAATAATAATATTCATTATTCACTAGTGAATAATGGTTTCATTATTCACCCCTTCCACGGATATCTCCATCGAAACTCCAAACAAGAGCTGTGCTCGATCCAAACCGGCTTGAAATAAATAGTTTCTTTTAATTAGTTAAAGCTAAATTAGTTAGCTACCGAGTTAAAGAAAATTGCAATGTTTTGTTTCCATGTTACTTACTCGTTATACTCGTTCAATATTTTTTTGACATTAAAAATAAAAACTCCTGGATAATGTATAGTATTCTACTCGCATATACTCGCCTGCGGCTCGTGTCATAAACTTCATCCACGTGAATAACAGCCACCATTATATGCTCGTTGAATAATATACTATTATTATAAGGGTTCAATATGTAAAAAAGGTATACCGGATGCGTCTCAAAAATGGTTCACCCCTATAACTTTTTTATTTTTTCAAATAAAAAATCGAGATTTGGTGTGATAGTATATTATGACATAAATTTTAGGATAAATTGACGGGGGTGGGGTGGGGGGGGGGTGGTTTGGTTTGGCTATTCAGTTGTTTTTGGTAACTTCCTGTTTCACCAGAAATGACTACTACAGAACTTTTGATTTTTAAATGGCACCCTCCGTATTTTTTTACTTTATTCGATAGAAAATGACATTCTGAATAGAATAACATATCATATGTGAACTTTTGACATTCTCGCTTAATCAAAAATCGTATTTAAATTTCAAACTAGAGTGCCATGGTTGTGTTAAAAACACAAATTCTTAATCAAGGAACCGTGGAAAATAGATTTGATCGTCTAATGTTTTTAGTGTCTTCTCCTGGCCAGTTAGAAAATGCTCAAATCGCATTTTTAATCATATCTCAATTTTTTCAAATGGAATGAGGGTGGCTCATTAACATATTTGGAAAAAGCATTTTTTTACGAATAATTTGATACCACACACTTGGTATTTTGAGTCAAATTTTAGTTACATACTAACCGCAAGTTATAATTTCAAATAACCATATGCGAAAATGTCAAAAGTTTTCATATGATACGTTATTCTATTGAGAGTGTTATTTTCTATCGAATAAAGTAAAAAAATGACGAGGGTGCTATTTAAAAATCAAAAGTTGTAGTCATTTTCGGTAAAACAGAAAGCGATCGAATACAATTGAATACGTCAATCAATCCTAATTTATGTCATATACTAACATATAACATACCAAATCTCGTTTTTTTAACTGAAAAAAATAAAAAAGTTGTAGGGGTGAGCCACTTTTGAGACGCACCCGGTATTATTTTTATCTAACCTTTCGAGGGCTGTAACTTCTTCAGGAAGCATTTTAAGAGGATATGTTCGTAGGAATTTTTTGTTTTACTTTTATCTGTAGAATCACTGACCGAAGTTAGATACAGTATTTTTTTGACACCCTGTATTATTTCAATTTTTTTTTTGGTATTTAATAAATATTTTTGGTTTTTAATAATGTTATAACATTTGTTCTTAGACTGTCTTTAGTGAAGGAAAGAAACAACTCCGTAGTAACCAATAGCGTGTTTCTCAACCAAATTCGTGACATTCCTCTAATAAAACCTCCTCCAAGACCAGGTAGATATCAAATTTTATTACTTTTTTTTTGGTAATTTACCTAAATTTTCGTATTCTTTTAGAATTGGCATATTGGCAAACGTTTCGATACGAATACTGGGCAACCGAGCAGGGAATCATACCACCTGATATTAAAAAACTGAATATAAAGTCTTTGAACATTGTGAGCCCGTTTGACCAATTGGCGAATAAGATGAAAACAACAGAAGGAGGGGATGATTTTAGTGATACTAGTCCTGAACTCGAAGCACTGGGTATAAATAATTATTTAAAAATAATTTTGAATTTTAAAATCCAGTGAGCAAAGTTTTGTGACATTTAGGGAAAATTAGGGAACAGTTACGTATCTGCGTTTTATTGCTTCATATCAGACACAAGAACCTGGTAACGTAACAAATACGTCACCTTTCCCCTTAAAGGAATAAAACGCTCACTGGGAATATTGACAAGAAAAGCTGATTTATATCCATAGTTTGATTAAAACCATAAATTGATTGAACGTATTTGTGTGACCCTTGCATGTGGATGCTTGATTTACTAAAGCGGTCCATACATTATCAAAGAAATTGCGCAACACAACGCGTTGTGCAGTGTATGTGTGTGTTGCGCTTTGTTGTGCCATATTTTAGTTGCCAGCCGGTTTTTTTTAGGGACGTCGCTTGTTTCTCGAACAATGCACAACTTTTAATAAAAAGTTTGATCAAAATGTTACTAAAGCGGCCCATACATTATCAAACAAATTGCGCAATAAAGCGATGCGCAACGTTGCGTTGCACAACTGATTCAGAGGTCCGTATATTATCAAACAAGTTGCGCAACAAAGCGATGCGCAACGTTCCGTTGCACAACTGCATCACCCATGCACTTAGTAAAATGTTGTTGACTTTTTATTAAAAGTTGTGCATTGTTTGAGAAACAATCATGTCCTCAATTGCCATTGCGTCAATTATTATCGTATATACCCTAGATGATGTCAATGATACCAAAAAACGAAAAAGAAAACAAAGAATTTGGAAGAAAGAACTAAAATGTTGCACAACGAAGCGCAACACACACATACACTACAAAACGCACTGCGCAAACGCCTGTTGCACAAAAGAATTCGAACATTCTTGAAACTTATCAAACAATTGCGCAACGCATAAAACTATACATTGACAAGTCGTTGCGCAACAGCCTGTGTTGCGTTTGTTTGATAATATATGGGCCGCTTTAGTGTATGGGTGATGATGGAATTGTGCAACGCAACGTTGCGCATCGCTTTGTTGCGCAATTTGTTTGATAATGTATATTATATACGATATACGCTTAAGGCTCCAAATATATTTAGGAATTTTTGAAATAAAATGTTGTAATATTGAGTTAATGCACTGACATTAACTTCCTATGTCTCTTCAATTTACTAGTAGTGTTTCTAACATTGATCCTTAAGCGGTCCATATATTATCAAACAAATCAAATCAAAGCGATGCGCAACGTTGCGTTGCACAACTGCATCACCCATACACTTGGTAAAATGTTGATCAAACTTTTTATTAAAAGTTGGGCATTATTGTTCGAGAAATAGTCATGTCTTCAAGTGCCATTGCGTCAATTATTATTGTATGCGTCCTAGATGATGTTACCCGATGTTACCAAAAAACGAAAAAGAAAATAAAGAATTTGGATTTCCTTCATCCAAATTCTAAATGAACTGAAATAATGCACAGCGAAGCGCAGCACACACATACACTACAAAAGTCCGTTCAAACATTCTTCACAGAAGAATTCAAACATTCTTCAAAATTATCAAACAATTGCGCAACGCATCAAACAGGGCCATACATTGGCAACTTGTTGCGCAACAGCCTGTGTTTCGCGATTTGTTTGATAATGTATGGGCCGCTTAAGAATCAATTCTCTGATCACGTGGTACAGAACCCCACTCACATAACTACTTACGTATAATACACAGTGTCCCAATATTCCGTGGACATAGAGCTACTACGTATTTTTGGAACCAAAATAAGTTCACTGGACGCAATTTACCTCTATACAAAAGTGCTTCGTTTGTCCGCTAGAGGGCATCAAACTTCCGACGGACGACCGATTATTTTTTTTGTAACATGGTCCTTCTAGTATTTACTACATTTTTTTTCTTTTTATCTTTAAATAAATTATTTTTCCGAAGCTGAGTTCCAAAAAATTTATTTTGTCACATCAAGCAATGGAAGCGCATCTATTATGCACTAATAATCTAGTTACCGAAAATATGGAATTTTATGTTAGTATCACAAATTATATTTGACAATAAGCTTTATAAAAGCCTCTGAAGATGCCCTCTGACGGTCAAACGAAGCACTTTTGTATAAAGGTAAATTATATGTAACTAACTTATTTTGATTCAAAAAATACGTAGTTGTTCTATGGCCACATAATATTAGAACTCCCTGTATATTTTGTAGGTCTGCTTTGGAAAAATAAATTCTCAAAAAAATTTTTTTTTTCTAAAACTATGCGATGTGGCGTTTTTTTACAAGGTACAAAAAATGTAGTAAATATACTAGATTGACCATTTTACTAAAAGAAAATCTGTAGTGGGTGGAGTTGGAAAATATTTATACTAAAATTTATGTAGGGGTGGGGGTAGTTTTTACCCGAGAACTGTAAACTAATAGGATTGCTCATCCTCATAAGACGTACGTTCGCCTCTTCCCGCGCTTCAGCTGACAGTTGTGACGTCATTGTAGTCCTTGTCATGATAGTGTGTATTATTAGTTGTCTATGGTAAACTTATAAAAATAACAGCTGAGAAATTTTGAGTTAATTATTTTGTCAATTTTAAATGTGAAAATGGTGTCTTTAAAGTTTTTAGAGCTACAGAGTGTATAAATACGTTCATTTTGTATTGTGGATTGTGACAAAGTGCTTACTAAGTGCCTACGATATTGTTTATTAATTATTTTAAAGCAAAATATGGAAGTACTCTAAAAAGAGTGCTTGCAAAAGGTGATGCTGGGAACTGCTGTTCTTAAAAATGCATTATCCCAGTATTTAATACGATTTATACAGTTAATTTTCTATACTGCATACATATAAGTTGTTTAAATAAATAAACAAAATAATGAACGTTTTGCTTTCGGCAACCAATAATGCACGTGTGTGTATTATTGGTTGCCGGATAAGGACTAATAACCATGACAAGGACTACAATGACGTCACAAAGCGAGTAGTTTTTGCATGCACCTGGCGGACACTTTTGGCTGAATGAGCAGTCCTATTAGGTTAACTGTTCTTGGTTTTTACCCTTCCACTATTTTTCCTTGATTTTTGTGAAAGTAAAATGTTAAAGGACTTAGCAAAACATAGACACCCAAAATCTCATTCAAATCGTAATAACGGTTCTTAAAATATCTGAAAAAGTGTCTATTTCTTTAAAGTTTGATGCCCTCTAGCTGACAAAAACAAAGCTCTTTGTATAGAGGTAAATCGTGTCCAATAAACTTATTATGATTTCAAAAATACTAGTTATAGTAGTTTAAACTACTACTAATAGTAGTTCTATGACCACGGAATATAAGGACATCTTGTATATTCTTTTAACTATCTAATTTTTTCCCAGACAAAAAATCCGATAAAAGCTCAAAATCCTCCAAGAAAACAGCCAAAATGAAAAGCATGAAAAACCAGCTACAGCCGGACCCGTCTTTTTGGATCGATTTTAGCGAAATTCAAGACACGCTTCTGTATATAACCATTTACTTCCAGCCAAGGTTGTTTAAGAGTAGGGCTAAAGTGTCCGACTTGAATTTCTTGTATAAAGCTACGGATTACAAGCACATTGTCAATCCCCTGGAATTAAGTTGCTCCAGAAACGAACCAGTATACATTTTTTTGGACTCAATCGACTCAAAATTTCTGGTCATTAATTTCAGTCAAACTGGAAATACGGAACACCTTGAAAGAACTACAGGTATAGGATAATAGAATACTAATTTAATATATACACACAACCAAACTTATACATTATATATGGAATCTCTTTTTATAGTCTAGGAGCTAGCAACGTTTTCGAGAAAGTATTTTAAGAAAGCTGGCTCTTTGATATATCTTTTACTATGCTCTCTGGAACAGCATGCGGCCCATCATCTGGCTGCCGATACCCGTTACGTTCACTACTGCGCATCGGAAGAAGATCCTATTTTTTTATTTAGTCCATTAAATTCCAGTAGGTATTGAATATAAATCGAGTTCTAGACCAGGCCATCGGTCAGGACAAAAACTTTTTTAGTAGGGAACGCAACGTTTACCGGCAGCCAGACGGGCCGCATGCTGTTCCAGAGAGCATAGTAAACGATATATTAAAAAGCCAGCTTTCGTAAAATACTTGTTTTCCCGACGTTGCTAGCTCTCGTACTATTATTTCTGACTAAACTTTTTGCAAAGAAAAAAATTGGTATACAGCTTTAAAACTGCCTCTACACTATGCGGAAAACTCTTCAAAACAGGTCAAGGTCGCATTTCGTCGCCCAACTTTGTCGCATTTCGATTTATTTCCGGTTGTCTTGACCTGATTTATTTCCGGTTTGCCTGGACCTACTTTCCATTCTTAAAAGCGCCTGAAAACTACTCGTGAGTGAGAACGTGGAGGATTTTTTTGGCGTTTTTGTTGCCTCGTTTAATTTTGTTTCGTTTTGAGCTATTTCCAAAACGTGGCGGTATCTGTACCCGAGGCAAAGGATTTTTTTCATAAATCTCATTGAAATAAGTAAACTTAGACGTAAAAGTCTTTGATAAGGACCAAGTTTTATTCAGAAACACAAAATGTTCATACGTCTCAAAAATTATGAAAAATAATGGATGATTCCATATATGTTTGGTTGTATTTATATGTAATGTACCAAAGACAATTTATAAAAAAACTAAGTACGGATATAGAAGAACCTACAAAAAGTGTGATTAAAATCATTAATCACACATTCATTAATTTATAGAGGAGACCATGCATTCGTTGGCAAGCTGCGAAGGAGAAGACTTGGATTTCTGCCTGAGCCTTTTACTCAAGAAAACAGAAGAAACATTTTCATTGAATATGGACCAATTCAGCTCCTCGCAGTGGGCTAACAAGTCGTTCTTTGTCTGTCCTTTCAACACCAAACCGGTCAATTTCCTTTTGGAGGAGTACTATTGGAGGTCTAACTCTTTCGGACGGGCGGCTACGAACATTCAAACGGTCGGTAGTAAAAGCGTGATGTTAGAGGCTAAACCTGGTAGAGTTTGCTTTAGGTAAACGAGTAAATGGATTAAAGCTTCATTCAGAACCTCGCAATTAGTGGAATAAATTTGTGGTTTCAATTACATTTTATACTTTTTAGTTTACGATCATTCACAATGTTTAAAAAACACACTTAAAATTAATAGAATATCCTAGCGACAGCTTGCGTTAGTCAGTTGTATCCACAGAGAAAGCATAATATTTAGCCTATAAAACAATCAATTTTTGATTTCTAACCAAAATTTCTCTTGACAAAGGTTATTAAAGGCCAAAATGACATTTTTCGCAAATTTTGAACTAGTGGAAAAGTTAAAAGTTCGATAACTTTTTCTACTAATTGAACATGTCTACCACTAATTTTGACGTTCTGAATGCTTACATTAAAATTAAAGGAACAAACTTCTACGCTAATTGAAACTACTAATTTATTCCACTAATTGCGAGGTTCTGAACGAAGCTTAAAGCTTCACTTACTGACTTAGACTTGCTATCAGTAGTTGAATAAATAATAAATAACATGAAATAAGCTTAGAAAAGACTGTCAAATCCACAAAATTTCAAATCAAATTCAAATGTGTCAAATGAATCGTCAAACAGAACTGTCAAGGATCCCCACTCTAGGACTTTCTCTTCGCCTACCGTGCTACCGTATGAATACATGGATAGCATTATCTCGTTCCTTAATCTTTTTATTCATAGATTAATACGATTTTGTTAACATAGATAGCCATGGTTTATATGTAGTATAACAGCCAGTAATTTAGTCTAATCGATTTGAAAACGAAAAAAAAAACGGTATCAGAATTGACTTCGAAATAAAGATTGCTGTCATTTAATATGCAAAATTATATGGGAAATGTCATCGATTAGGCTAATATGACCTCGTTTTTTGGGGAATTTTATCCGTATGTTTTATCCATATATACCGAGTGTTTTTCGAAAGTGGTTCACCTATATAATTGTTTTCTTTTTTCAAATAAAAAAACGAGATTTAGTACGTTAATACAGAGTGGCGCCTCACATACGTCGCGGAAGCTCCAAGGAAAACGGTAGTTTATATCGAAATGAAATTTTGGCAGCATGTAGGTTAACTGAAAGCATTTTGTAAAAATATATAGAATTATACAGGATGTCCCCAAAAAAAGTTGTGGTTTTTCTAATATATATATTAATGTATGTTTTTCCCTATATATTAATTGATCTTCGGATCCTAGGAAAAAAATAAAAGTGAGTTTTATTAAAGAAGAATATATCTAAAATCTAAGGATTTTGGCATATTTCACATTTTGTGAAAATGAATAGTAAATTTTAAATTTTGATAACAGCTACCTAAATTTTAGATGACCTTGTATAGCCTGATATTTAATTACAGTAACTATTGTATGTTAAACCAAATTGAAATTTGACCCGAAAAGTTATACACGCTGAGACAAAATTAATATAGAATATTAGTCACTTTTAAAAGCAAGTTACTCCTTTATTTTAAATGGTACACCCAGTATATTATTCCGGTGTTCAATGGGGAATTTATATATTTTCAATATATTATTAAGGTTGCCTACTCCTCAGACAAAGATCTCGTTTTTTCTATCTAACAAAATATAAAAGTAATACACCAGCCAAAAATAATATACATATTTAAAAAATACCTAAAATTGGAACATATTTTTGGTTTTACTTCTTTCATCTTCTCATAAATAATTACCCACAAAAGTTTCTTCTCTCAATTCCAAAAACTTGTTATTATACTGAAAACAATTTCAATTCATACAGCTTGATGTAAACTCGATATATTCAGGCTTAGCTTTCTTATCAAGACCATTAGTGTTAAGTAATTCCTTCAAGTAATTTAGAGTGTGTGGAACGAATAGAAATGCTCGGAAACGAGGAAGATACATCAAAAGAGACTAAAACTTTACCAGCATGAAATTTGATATTCCTAAGTATAGTAATAAAGAAGATTCTCGAACTTAAGTCAATTTTATCATAATCAATATTACATTTTATTTTAATATTAACTAAAATTAATATAAAGTTGTGAATAAAATACTACAAAATATATTTTGAAAATGCAACTAAAAAAAATACTTAAAATAACAATCCTGGATGACAAAAACATAAAGCAAAATAAATAAAACATTGGTCTAATTTATAGATATGTATACCGGGTGCGTCTCAAACGTAGCTCACCCCTCTCAAAAGTCGCTGAGATTTGGTATGTTAGTATATGACATAAATTAGGATTGAGTGACGTTTTCAATTGTTTTTGACCACTTCCTGTTTCATCGGAAATGACTAGAACTTTTGATTTATAAATGAATAATTTATTTGATAGAAAATGACACACTGAATAGAATGACATATCATATATCAACTTTTGACATTTTCGCATATGGTTTATTTGATATTGTAACATGCGGTTCATAACAACAATTTGACTCGAAATACCAAGTGTGTGGTAAGTAGTAGTAATGCTTTTTCCAATTATGCTAATGAGCCACCGTTGTTCAATTGGAAAAAATTGAGATATGATAAAAAATACGATTTGGGCATTTTTTAACTGGCCAGGACAAGACACGAAACACATTAGATGATCAAAACTTTTTTTCTTCTCGTTGGACAGACTACCAATAATAAGCAATAAAAATAAATCATTTATCAACAGAAGCATACATTAGTCATGTCATGTTCTATAGAGTAGCATAAAAACACCAATTTTTAAAATTCAAATAAATATGTTTTTAAATACATTAGGTTATGGATCTCATCCCACTGTTCCTACGTCATCCAACTATTCTGTGATACGCCTCTGACAATCGGATGTCTGGAAGAGTTTTACACGGCGTGCGCCACTGAATCTGAGTCACTCACAAATAAGTGTTATGAACTATCAGATTGTTTCGGTAATTTTATACATTTTATATTAATATTTTTTTATATTAAGTTTCACTAAACAAACTTACTCAATCGTGGATTAAATAAATGTTTTAAATAGGTATATTATAATATCGGTTGTTTCGATTCTAAATTCGAAGAATTTTAATTTTTTTAGCCGGAGTTACTTTATAATAGTGTCTTTTTCAAAAATCAGTTTACCAAAATTTGCAATCTTGCTTGATATAGGGTGAGTCAAAACTAAATGTTGTATTTTTCTCCACTATTTTATACGGAACAACCTGTATTTTGTATCATAATCCAACAGAGTTTTGTTTAATCTCATTATTTTATTACGTATTTTCCATAATAATTATTTTCAACGTGTCCCCTGGGAGGTTGTCCACTGAAGTTATTAAATTTAATTTAATTATAGTTCCTATCAAATAAACTTTTAGTCACGTGATTAAGCTTGGCCGGAACAACGTTGCCCACTTTTACATATTTTCTTTTAATTAAAATATTTTAGGAAACGAAAATAAATTAATTATAAATATATAAACAGTTAATATTTACATCAACAAAACCCACCTTCTTAATAGCTCTTAAAGGGCATAAAGGCCTGTTACTACCGCTTTCCTGTGAAAATATTGTAATAAAGTTGCTATGAGTTTTTACGCCTATTAAGCTATCTTGTACACTTCGCACTAAAAGAGGTTCTCAAAAGAACAATATGTTTGACTGCAAGGTCTGCTAGTTAACATTTTTAAGCTTAAAGTTTCACAACACTATTTATTTAAACCAAAATCTCGTAATACAAAACTAAAGTGTCAAAACGAATGACAATGTCAAGAAATAAATAAATAAATGTGGCAACTTGATATTTTTTATAGTAAAGTTACCACCTGAATTCCCAGCGCGAAATTTAAATTCCAGTTAGTTAGCTCGGCGCCGAATATGTCCATGGTTGGGAACAATGAATTTAAAAATCGCGCCCTCGATTACGTAACTTAAAGTTTATTTGATATCAAATATAGATCTAAATTATGCTACTATTAGCAGAAATAACACTGACAAATTATAAGAAACTCCGCTATTAAGATCAGAGTATTTAAGATATAATTACAATAAAACTGTGAGTGGTTGCCCGAGATATTTATGTTTAAAACTACGCATTTCCGGGTCCATGCTTATAAAAATTGTTCTCCATATTTGTGATGAGAAATCAGATTTCTAAAATTTGGCCTCCTTTTTCGACCTGTATATTTTTTAATATTATTTATCAAATCATTTTACAGGAAAATTAGTTCAATCGTTTGGAACAGAAGACTATGAGCTTCATCTCAAAAACTTCTTTCTGTGCTACAAATCGGAAGAAGACTTGAAAAAGAAAGATTCCTTGATAATTCACAAAGCCTTCTTAGATGAATTATACAAGATGATCTCTGCTAATTGCTCTCTGCCGAATAGTTTGGACTGTACGAAATTGATCCTACTTCAGTTGAAGACGTTCGATTATATCAATCCCTACAGCGAGGATGATCTTCATGTTCCAGAAGAAATTTTTGAAAATATTAATCAAACGCAGTACTACAAGGAAATGCAGAAAGCCGCAGTTAAAATACAGGCTTTCTTTAAAGGAATCTACATCAGAAGGATTATGAAGAAAATGAATGAGAATCACAAGCAATATTTTAGTAAGACGATCTTTTTAATTCACTTTTTCTCGTAAAATATCTGCATTTTTTATAATATCACCAACAATTATTACAAATAAAAAAAAACATTAAATTCGCTCGATCATAAAAAATTCACCCTAATTGTTGGAACTAGAAAATAACAATTTTTGACACTTGTCTGAAACATGGCTTCAGAAATCCGGAAATTATTTTTTACTTTTATTCTAAAATCAATAGATTTTTTCCCAATTTCCTAACTCAAATTTCATTTTAAAATTCAAAATTCCTCTAAATTCCCAATTCAACAAATGATCAGGTTATTATTCAGATTCAGTCAGATTAATTTTTTAATCAACGCTTTTGACGCGCTTCTAAACCTTCTAAGATTTTCTCTTGATTTTCCATAAGTATTTTCTGTAGGTGATCTTGTTCCTCTTCTTTCTCTCTTTCAAATCGGGCTCGCTCTTCTTCTCGTTCTTTACGGAGTCTTTCTTGTTCTTCAACCTTCTCTCTTCTCATATTTTCCATAAAATCGCCCAATAATTTGCTTACTTCCTCTATTTTCTTCGCTTGTTCTCTCGTCCCAACCATAAAATTCTCCAATCTGATGTAAAATCTTCAAAATCCACTTAAATCGCACACTTCCGACATCAATTGTTACGGATTCCGTGGGCCCACTAATTTAAACCCACGATAAAATACTTAACGAATATATTTGTTCTCACTCTGTACACACAATTTATACTGATTATAAAATACAATTTATGCAACTACTATTACTCTAACTGTTCTGGCACCTTCGCCAATTAACTCACAATTTAAAACGCGGTATTATCAAACTTCAAACTGCCCAACCGCCAAGCGCGGGTCTTTATATACCCCTACTGACTGTTTCTCGAACCTTCTGTAATTTTCGATACTTTTCTGCCATCTACCAAAAACGTTGATTAAAAAATAAAAAGATGCGCAACCTTATGGGCGATTTCGTGGCACAAAACCTGTCCGAGATATAGGTGGCGTTACCGTCAGCCTGTTCGAGATTTGGTTTAGCACTGCGCCGCTGCGCGCTGATGTCGTTTACAGCGCAGCAGATAAAGAATACTGTACTGTAAGAATACTAATAGTAGAATACCGCAGTTCTGCTTTCAGTCGATAGTGAGTGGTTGCCCGAGACGGTGTTGCCAGAACTACTGATGAATCCGTAAATTTACGGATTTTGGGCACAGTTTGTTCATAATACGGATTTTTTATTATTAAACAATTTAATATAATATTATATGATTACACAAAGAACAGCGTCAGAGTTGGCTTAGAAATGAAGATCGCTGTTAGTTCATATGTGAAATATTTCGGTAAACGTCAATAATCATAATTTTCAACGACTTTTTTCAATCATACGACATATTCAGTACCTATAAAAGAATTTTTATTTTTGTTCTTTATTCAATGTTTCACACGAATAAATTTTCAATATATAAACGGAAATTTTTCATCTAAAATATTTTCGTCAAACGTATTACAGATATTAAACATTTCATAAGTGTTTTATGCGTTGGCCGCGGAACGATTGGTGTATTCACCGTACGGCACTTGAGACGTACAGGGAAATCAAATCAGCCAACGAATTCACCCATTAGGTAGCGTATGATCCCAATTCTTTCAATCAACGGTAGAAACTAAAAATGTAATAATATACAGGGGGTTTTATTTAAAAAAATACAACTTTGTTATTTTTCATTTATCTTTGACACTCCGTACCTTTTTAAAATCATTTTAAATTGTAGTTCTAATAATTTTCCAGCGGTCCTATGACATGAGTCACAATTTATAAATGACTATGTAATCGTTTAGCTACAATACTCAGTGTCGAATAGCGTGAACAACTCTGTATATCTTTAGAGTTCTTAGAATTTTTTTTTTCATAAAAGCATGCCATATTGTTATAATTTTGCATTAAAAGTTAAATATGAACAGTTATTCTGCAAAAAGTAATTAGAACACCAATTACTGACCGGTGGAAAGTTGAAGATAACTAATTAGTGACCATAAAGCTTCATTCAGAACCTCGCAATTAGTGGAATAAATTAGTGGTTTCATTTAGCGTAGAAGTTTATTCTTCTAATATGTAACCTTTCAGAACGTTAAAATTAGTGGTAGGAACTTTTAACTTTTCCAGTAATTATACTTCAAAATTTGCGAGGAATGTCATTTTGGCCTTTGATTATCATCCGTCAAGAGAAAATGTGGTTAGAAATCAAAAGTTTATTGTTTTATAAGCTAAACATTAGGCTTTCTCTCTGGATACAACTGATTACCGCAAGCTGTTGCTAGGATATTCTATTAATTTTAATTGTGCTTTTTAGGCATTGTGAATGATCGTAAACTAAAAAGTATAAAGTGTAATTTAAACCACTAATTTATTTCACAAATTAGCAATTAACGGAATAAATGAGTGGTTTTAATTAGCGTAGAAGTTTGTTCCTTTAATTTGAATGTAAGCATTGAGAACATTAAAAACTATAAAGTGTAATTGACCACTAACTTATTCCACTAATTGCGAGATTCTGAATCAAGCTTTAAGCTTCATTGAAAACGGCGAAATTACTGGAATAAATTAGTGTTTTGAAGAAATTACCGGTTCTTCATAATCATCAATCATCATGTGCGTCAAATAAGTCATAAATTAATTAACTAATTTTACCGCTAATTTTATAACTTATACCTATCAACAAGAGTGTATCAATTTGTTTTTGTAGGCATTTTTGAGACACTGAAAAAAGTCTATCAAGAGATATTTTCCTCTGAAAAACGACTCAATTTCTGTCCAACGTTGTTTAGAAGGTTTTTTGAGCGTGAAGATATGAAACATTTCAAAGAAAAATTCGATTTGTATAAGGACATGGCCTCTGTTCTAGCTCTGATTAATTTCAACAATGCTATAAGCGTTCCTGAACCACGCTGGGTCTGTATCTGTCGCTATCAATTCCACATTAACTCTACAAAACCCCTATTCATCAAAATAAACCTGTTTTGCAATCTGGACATGTACTATGTTAGGGTTTTTGATAACGATAGTCAAAAAGAGATGAAACGATACACTACAAACGTCGCTGTGGAAGAATATGCCAGTAACATCCACGGATACACTGTACTGTGCTACGCGTTTGTCAAGGAACCGAGGAAAGTCTATTGGAAATTGATAATAGCTACTCAGAAAATGTCTAGACACGACCTAATAATCTTACAACAAAATAATGTTGCGTCTATATCCTTCACAGAACCTTACATGCCTAATTTCAATCAAAAAATATGCAGGTATTGCGTAAAGGTCGATTCGGAATCTTTCCTGACAGCTCACCTAACAACTTCCTACGATAACGCGCGTATGAAATTGAAATTGTTGGATTCAAAGAACAAGGTTCTTCGGGAAGCTTCTGGAATTGGAGGTGTTTTACTACCGTTGATGCATCTACATGATAGTAAATCGAATGAAGATGATAATGCTTCAAAGTTAAAGAAATCTACGGAGACCTGTCTCAGTGAGGTTACCTATGGCAAACTGGGCGAGACTAAAACCAAAAAGAAGAAAAGTCGTGCATCTGTCGAGATTAAACAAGGTTAGATACAGGGTAGCCCATCGAAAACGTTCCGCAAGGCATAACGGCCAGGGTTTTTTTTTTTAAATTCAATAACACGTCAATTTTTTCTGTGAGGGGGAAAACTTTTGCCCCAAAAATGATTGCAAAATCTTCAATCCTTTAAGCGGGGGTGTCATCCCCCAACTTTTTTCAAACGGGAAGGGGGGTCAAGTGGTGCCGCAATGAAAAGGGCTTTCTATTCTCTATATTTCCCCGCTTCGTTTTTAAATATCGGTCGAGTCATTTTGAAAATATGAAGGATTGAAATTTGAAAAAAATTTTTTGCAAAAAAACGCATAAATTGAATTAATTAAAAAAACTTACCTTATTAATGAAGCGAATGCTGAAAATGTTGCCCGTCAACCTCAATACAAATTATTTTCAAACCGTTCTCGAACATTCTGAAGAACTTGCGGGGTCACTTCGCGACCAACATCAATAATTCGTCTTCGCAGATCTTCTAATGAGGCGGGTGGATCTTCTAATGAGGCATTACTTTTTATGTGTCCCCATAGAAAAAAGTTTAAAGGAGTCAAGTCGGGTGACCGGGGGGGCTACTCAATTGCACCCCTTCGTCCTATCTACCGACCGGCAAAGTTATTGTTTAAATAATTACGCACATTTTGAGAGTAATGTGGAGGTGCACCGTGTTTTTTTAATATCCTTTGGACACTTTTACGATTCACGCCGGTCTCATTGGCTAATTTTCTTGTACTCTTACGCGTACTATCCATGGCAACATGGCCCAATACGAATACCACCATAGCTTCATTTACTACAGGATTTTCCTTTTTTTATTCATTTTCTCTTTATATTCATAACGGAACCAGTTTCGCGAAATTTTGCTACTAACTAGCGAACAATTTTGCAATAAAGGTGTTTGTCAGGATGGCGTTCATTGAATATCTGCGCAACCCGATTGCCACATTCATTATTTTTAAAATAAAGTTCGATTATTTCCACTTTTTCTGCAACTGAGTACACCATAATTGTTAAAAAGTTTAACGATATTGAGAAAAACTTCAGCGCACAAGTCACAGAACAGCTATCTAGCAACTACCGCACCTGATCGTTCAATCTTGTGGCAAGTGAAAAAATGCGTAAACATGTAAAAATAATAAGAAAAAACAGCAAATTGGTCGAAGGAATTTATCCTTATTGATAAATGATAAATGTTTAAATAAACTTTTCAAATTTCAATCCTTCATATTTTCTCAATGACTCGACCGATTTTCAAAAACGAAGCGGGAAAGTATAGAGAGTAGAAAGCCCTTTTCATTACGATACCACTTGACCCCCCTTCCCATTTGAAAAGAATTGGGGGATGACACCCCCGCTTAGAGGGTTGAAGATTTTGCAATCATTTTTGAGGCAAAAGTTGTCCCTCTCACAAACAAAATTGACGTGTTTTTGAATTTTCTGAAAAAAAAATTACCCTGGCCGTTATGCCGTGCGGAACATTTTCGATGGGCCACCCTGTATAATGACAAAATATCCCCCTTTAGGACTTCATCTCTCATGTTAAGAAAGAAAATAGAAATAAAGCGCCTCTCGTGTTTGTTCGCATACTAAAAATTTCAATTAATGCGTGTATACAGAGTGAGTTTCCTACAACGTTCTCTATGGGTATCTCGAAAACTACTGGAGATAGAGAGTCGGTTAATTGGGGAAAGAATTGCTATTTTGTGGGGTCATAAATATGCACCTTTCAGATTTTTGAAAAAGTTCATGGCTTACTAGATATTTTGAAAAAAAAAACAAATTTTGGCCATTTTAAAAATTGTCCCTAATTCCATTATAATCTATTTTAGAAAAAAGTTTTCAGATGAAAGTTGTAGATAATCACATCCCTAATGAGTTTGTGTTCTCCGATTTTTTCTAAAGTTTGTCATTTTTGACATATGACACAAACATATGTTTTTTAAATGGAAATCATAGTTGGCCATGACTTCATAAAAAACGCCATTTTTAAGCTTTTCAGCGATATAAGCTATAGTATGTTTTTTTTTAAATTACTGTGTTATAGCCAATTCTTATCTTTCTTGACTAATTTCACTTAGTTGGTTGGTAATTCTTATTTTTTTGTGATTTATAACTTATAAAAAAGGAATATATTATTTAACGGTTCTTTACAATTTACATTACACAAACTAAGATTTAAAATACTATAAGATCAGTAAGTACATACACTTGCATGCATCTTTTTAAAATTGAATTACTACAGAACGACCGGCGACCGGTCGACTTAATTAAATTTCTCCCGTACCGCCTCTTGTTAAAACCTCTTGTAAACCTTGTTGTTAACCGTACCGCATAAAAAAATTAAAATGGGTAGATATTTATCCCTGAGTTTGCATAATTATGATATAAATAATTTTTAACATTTTTTTGTTATGGGGGGTGTCATAATGAAAGTCATGTTGGAAACACTCTATTGATGCGTATCTAACGAGTATCTAAATTTAACTTTTCTAACATGTCTTGAAAACCGTGTCTAAAAAAAGTAAGTAACGTTCACCGGTCAACGTATCCTCGAAAATGTATGGCCAAGAAAAGTTGAACCAATAATCCTCCATACTTTTCTTCATTTGAAAAATTCATATTTACAATTTTTGTTTATTTTAATTACAAAGTTTGGAAGTGACCGTTTTACATTTCATGACGATTGATCTTGTTTCCATGGCTAACTAAGTGAAGTTGTGTAAAAATTATAAGAATTGGCTATAACTCAGTAATTTTTCGAGAAAAAAATATAGCTTATATCGCTGAAAAGCTTAAAAAATGGTGCTTTTTTATGAAGTCATGGCCAACTATGGTTTACATTTAAAAAAATATATTTCTGTCATATATACATAGAAAAAATCGGAGGACACAAACACATTAGTTATGTGATTATCTACAACTTCTTATCTAAAATAGATTATAATGGAATTAGGGACAATTTTTAAAATAGCCAAAATTTGTTTTTTTTTTCAAAATATCTAGTAAGCCATGAACTCAAAAATCTGAAAGGCAAATGTCCAAAAAGGTCTAGGCATACTACGTTGCGCATGGCTGAAGTGCACTTTTGCTTTTCCTATGGGCGCCATACTGAAATACATAGTTGAAAACAATTTTAATAAGGATTTTTAAAATGCTAAATTTAAATATAGCGCTCATAAGAAAAATAAAAGCTGACCTCGGCCGCGCGCTACATAGAAAGCCTAGATTTTTTTTGATATCATTTTTAAAATTGCCATGTTGCCTTGCCCGTATATTGAAATTTTGATTACCTTAGCTCCAATAATAAAGAAAATATGGTGGTTTTTCGAAAATGTTCATTTTTTCTTTTTCACCTTGTATCTACGTAACGGTATGGATTTAAAATAAAATAGACATAGATTAATTTTGGGCACACAAATACGCAACTTTGCTTCCATTTAACCGACTTTGTATCTTCAACGGTTTACAAGATCCCCATGTACCTCATTTTAAATTGGACACCCTATAGGACCCATATTAAGCGAAAAATTTACAAGTGAAAAAATTGATAAAAAACCTTTTTAAAAACAAGCTTAAAATGAAATGCACTTAAAAGTAGAAAATAAGAATTAAAAACAAGGGGCGCAAAGTAACGATTAAAACTTCTGTAGATTATTTTTTTAAGTATTAATATACCCAGGGATAAAACACCACTTATTTGAACTCATTTTACTTCTTCAAAACACGAAAACAATGAAAATAAACAATACACCTTCGCGAACGTCTGCAAAAACAATGCGGCAAGTGCACGATGGTACGGACGCCATCGATCGATCAAAGCAGTGACGTCAAAAACAGCTAGCCTCGAGCCGGGTAAGTTTTCTAGCCTTGCTGCATTTCTCAATTTTTTTTGCGTTTATGTGAGAAAAATACAGTTTTTAAGACAAATTTTGTGTGCCATGTTTTTTACTCATATGTAGCTATCGAAATTCATTGAAATTAGAAATTAGTGAACACGTCTATTGTCTAATTACTAATTATAATTTGTGAATTTTGATATTTTAACTATATATGTGACAATAACTAACTTCATTATTTTTTTCTGTGTACAATTTTTCAGATAACTTCAAACATGGAAGTACTCAAGATCTAAGCATGAAAGGAGATAGTATATCCAAGAGAAGTGTCTCGCTGAAGTTAAAATCGTCAGAGAAACTCAGTCAAAGGTTTATACGTAATTACTCAATCAATTACTCAATCAATTACTCAATCAAATTAGAGGGGACACTCGAAAAAAAGTGTTGGTTTAGATTGGTTTGATTTATATAAAAAAAAATAATACATAATAAATAATAATATTCTAGAAAAAAATAAGCCTACTCATTACTACATTATTTTACAAATTGTTATCGCTTTTTGTATCATTCCTTAATAGTTTCAACTTTATAAAGCAAATAATGGTAGTTAGATTGTTTTTTGGAGAGTTAATGTAGAAGTTAGTAATATATCGTGCTGGCAACTGTTACTTTTGGGTCGGCATTTATATGTGTGTGGAAGTAAATCGCATAGGGATCTTATTAAGTCGGAGTGAGAGAAATGCAATGACTAAAGAATATAAGGACATGTAACGCCCCTATACGGGCTGCAGCAGAATTTGTGACCTTTTTTTTTTGTTTTGGTGGCAAACAATGAGTCATCATTTGGTCACCAGCGACAATTTTAGCGATTTTTAATAGTTTATGTGTAGTAAACTTTGTATAAACTTTATTAAAATGGTGATTAGTTGTTCAGCTTTCAAGTGTAAAAGCAGCAGCGATAAGAAAGAGCCAGAAGTTACGTTTCATAGGTAAATAAACAGTCCACTCCAACTTTTTAGCGTTTTCTTATTGAATTCGATAATTATTCTTTAATTTCAATTAACATCTATATGTACTTGATATGTGCTATACGTCGATACCAGTTTTGTACCTTTTGTTAACATTTTAATACGTTTTTTTCGTAATTAATTAGGATGATACATCATAGGCGTAGTCAAAACAATTATCAAAAAATATAAATATTGCTTCAAACAGCTAGGTTAAGAAAAATATGTGCCACGGCACTGTTTGGTGACATCGTCACAATTTGCTCTCGGGTGTTATTTGTCCTTGGATTCTTTAGTCATTGGAGAAATGCGACCGACCGACGCGACGCGCGACGGTGTGCTGTTGCGGCGTTGCCGATACGCTTTTCCGTATCAAGTAAAGTAAAATCACGATCGCAAACCGCTTATTTTTAAAAGACTTTTTTTTCAAGAGATAACTAGATAAAATCATTAGACATGTTTCTGAGCATTTGAAATGGAATTATAAGGATATCGTTAAGGTGTCATTTTTTTATAACGAGAAAACGTTAGTAATCGCGATAATTTAAAAACTCAACTTTTTAACATATAACAGGTCATAACTCAAGAACCACTTTAGATATTGAAACTTTCTATTTATAAAAACTAAAGGTTCTCTATAAAAACTAAACGTTTTTTTATTTTCAAGATCGGATATTTTACAATATGTTTACATAAGAAAAATTCGATAAGGTTGTTTTTTCCATTCAAAAATTGTAAACAATCCATCCATTTACTTTTAGAGCATAGCAATTTTCAGCAATTGTGTAATTTTTTATTGATGAAGATTTTCACATACTGTCTACAAAGAAAATACAACAGAAATATTAACAAAGTTCTTGAAAAAACTACAATCTATTATTTCTAATAGATTTCGAGATATCGATTTTTAAATTCAGAGTTCTAATAGCGCGACCACTATCGATCACCCACTCAATTCCACTTATTTTTACCAAAAATGCAAGTGTTTCTAGCTTGCACTTAAAAAAAATCAAGCTATAGAGAAAATTACAACGACTCGTTAATAAATAAACAAATTAAGTATCACGAGACGTAGGTAATTAAATCGTGAAGCTGAACGCATGACGTACACCTTTCCCTAGAACTTAGAAGTACTGACAGAGGTATTGATTGAGTCGACCGGTCAACTGCGACAAATCTGCTATATCCCCTTCCACGTCTCTTAGCGACGTGCACAGGTTTCTCGGTTTATTTTATACGTTTGGCAACGTGTTTACTGTCCTCTCTTTGTTCAGTACATTATAAACGCATTGTACTCTTCTTGCATATGGAAATCTCGACCCAAGACTAACCTTTGCCAGCCCTTAGTATATGGATGTACTCTGTCCATATGTCTGTAGCAATACTTTATCTGTTTAATTAAAGTGAAACTTTGGCACTTATGATGTTATATCACATTATTGATATCACTTTAAGCAAAAATTTATTTTAGGTCAGCTACATCCCAAGCTAATCGAAATAACGAAAAAATGAGCGATTCATTAGCAAAATTAACAGAAGCAATTAGAAGCGAATATGTCTTGGAGGCAAATGTGGTATACATAACTTTAATACGAAATATAATTAATTTTTCTAATAATAGTGTCGCGTCGCTAATCTAAAAATAGAAAATCGACTTAAATTTTAAAAGAGAATGTTGGAATAAAAGTTCCTATTTTATTTTAAAGTAAAAGCCAATAAATATTATTACTATGATTCTCTTTGTATTTCTAGGTTGACCAGTCATGGCCTTTAACATCTAAGGAGTGGACCAATGTCCAGAACTGTCGAAAATCACAGTACCTCTATCAAACAACCGAAAGGTACTGAAAGAATAGGTACCAATAAAATATTTTAAGGGGTGGTAGATATCGATAAAAGAAACGTATTTTCTCTTTACCTTTTTCAAATAAGTCCAAAATAATGGAGTTATTTTAATTTGAAAATTAAAATAAAATTATTTTTTGCTCATATTTTGAGAACCAGTGTTTTTTTTTTGGGGTTTTCTTTTTTGTAAATTTAATCTACTACCTATGTTGCCATAATAACAAAATTTTTTCGCAATTTATCAAAATTTTTTTTCGCAAAATACCAAATCTTCAAAAAATTCTGGTATCGAAAACTACCACTCCTAAAAATATTTGCACTTATTTAAGACTCACCCTGTATTGAGTTTTTTTAAGCCAGTTTTATTTGAAATTTCAAAATATTTATTTCAACAAGGATATTAACAGAATAAAAACATTTAAACGTGATTAAGTTTGACTGGCACAGCGTTGCCCACTTTTACATATTTTCTTTTCATAAAAATATTTTAGGAAACAAAAATAAATTATGCTTGCTTCATCCACGTTACCGTAGATGGAGCTAAGAAGGCTTAGGTAGGGTATATATAATAAATAAACAAAAATACGAGTAGCGGAAAAAGGGGCCAAAAACCCCTACATATATGCTTATTCTCTGCATTAAGTTCATCAGACCGAACCGAAGGGAACAGCCATTCGACGACCGGTTTCGGAGATTTTTCTCCATCGTCAGGCCGACTTTGCTGTAACCCTCGATCTGACCATGACCAACGAAAAGCAGAGAATAGCATTTGAGTACAATAAGTACTACTATGGCGAGAGTGCTAGACGCACTACGCCATCTAGCGGTAGCTGTGACAATCACAGATCGTACCGCCAAAATTAAAACCAGCGGCCTAGTGGACAAACATGCTTGCTTCATGCACGTTACCGTAGATGGAGCTAAGAAGGCTTAGGTAGGGTATATAATATAATAAATAAACAAAAATACGAGTAGCGGAAAAAGGGGCCAAAAATCGTTGGTCAGATCGAGGGTTACAGCAAAGTCGGCCTGACGATGGAGAAAAATCTCCTAAACCGGTGGTCGAATGGCTGTTCCCTTCGGTCTGATGAACTTAATGCAGAGAATAAGCATATATGTAGGGTTTTTTGGCCCCTTTTTCCGCTACTCGTATTTTTGTTTATTTAAAAATAAATTAATTATAAATATCTAAACAATTATTTTTTACATCAACAAAACTGACCTCCGTAATAGCACTTAAGAGACATAAAGAGCCATTACTACCGCTTTCCCGTTCAAAATAAAATGTTGCGATGATTTTTACGGCTCTTAAGCAATCTTCTACACTTCGCACTAAAAAAAACGAATGACAATGTCAGGAAATAAATGAATAAATATGGCAACTTGACACATTTTTTACAGCAGTGCTACCACCTGAATCCCCAGCGGAAAATTTAAATTTTAGTTAGTCAGCCCGGCGCCGAATATATCCATAATAATGAAATTAAAAATCGCGCCCTTGATTACGTAACTAAAACCTCACCAATAACTAAAAGTAATTGGTGAAAAAATGTCTATTCCTATGTGGCAGATTGATATCTCCAAAAAATCCTATATGGGTATTTCACCACTGCAAGAAAATCTACAAAATAAAATAGTTATTTTTTGTAAACATTTCTGCCTTAATCCAAACGAAAACTACTTGTCAGAAGTTAGGTTTACAGATATACAAATTTGCCTAACGAACAAAAAATGCTTAACGTTTCGGAAAGTTTATCTATTTCCGTCGTCGGAAGCAAAAAAATACAAAGAATAAAGAAACAACTATTTAAAATATTTAAATTCAACTATTTGAGAACACTTTAGTTTTTTAAAAAACAGATACATCTGCAAAAAACCGTTGACATTCTGTTCACATGACATTATATCAAGTTAAACTTCAAAATTAACAATTACTACCTGATATCAATTACTCAATAAGATAAAACTAAAAAGCTCCAAACTTTCTGTATGATTATTTTTAATTTTTTCGTATGTTATGTTTATTTATTTTATGTTCTTTAAAATCAAGGTAACGATTGCCATACATTACTAACATCTACAGATGCATGAGCAATACATTTATTTTTATTAGATTGTATTAAATATCTTTTATTTTTATTTTAGAGGCTATCGTTTCTTTCATTATAATTTTGGCGTTATTAAAATTTATTCCGTGCCCTGTGTCTCATGAATGCTGACAAATCTTAGATTTGTGAAAATCTCCCTTTCTTAAATAATCTTTATGTTCCTTAATTCGAACATTTAAGGGTCTAGATTATAAGTCAATTATATTAATTGGTGGTGTCAAATATTATATGTAATAATTAGTATAAACATTGCACGAGCCTTTTTTTTAAATAAATTGGAGCAAAAATCTCAAATTAGAGAATTGAGCTCTCTAGAAACAATGAGTCCCCTGAATATTATAAGCCTAATGAAAACATGTAGATTCGAACAAAATTTACATTACAGCACATTTTTCAGCGACGAAAAACACAAAGTAACCCCATCCCAGAAAAAGCCACATCTCGCAACAGAACCTCCTTTTTTCGTCCTCGATCTGGTGTATGGTGCGGCGGAGGGTCTGGAATTCCTGGAAGACAACCTGAAACTGGAGAAGAGGAAGCGAACAAAAAGGAAATGGTTCGAAAAGGACAAGGGCAGATTCAGCAAAGCGAGGGAATTTAGGTAAAAGGCCTTAGATCATAAATACTTCCTGGATAAGACTTTTACTTTCTAACTGTCCTCAACATGTTATAGTCTTTGTCTCTGTCGGATATATGATATTTTCTATTTCTCATTACACAAAAAAACTTTATTGGCTTAGTTTCAACTCAAAATAAACTCACCGGCAAAAAAAACTGGCCACTAAAAACTAGTTCCAATTTCAAACTTGTATTTCTTGCGAACCACTCATTAGATTTTGATGATTTTTTTTAAATTGTAAATTAATTCCTTCCTAACGGATACTACGTCAGAAATTTTTATTCCGAATTTATTTTGAGCATATACAGGGCACAACAATAAGACGAAGATTTTTGCCCGAATTTTGTAACACCCTATAGGGTGCAGCAGCTGTAGTAGCTATTGCTAAACCAAATCACATTGTAGCCTCATCTTTTGTGAGCATTTTCTTTTTTTAATTACGACATTATCTCTGTTTCTATTGGAGATACGCTGCTTGAAAACGAACGTCTCGGAAAAATGCTTCGCAGGCAGAAAGTTTTATGTGTGAATAATCAAGGCGACATCATTGTCAAATTAAAAAATGCTATTATCTGTGACGGATGTTTCTCGTATTGTGGCTTTAATTTAGGATGGCCGAAGTCAACATTATGTGTCCGATATCCTGGGTATACCACGAACAACAGTCCTGGATGCCTGGAATCGGTATATGGAAACGGGAAATTTCACCAGGGGCGCTATTCTGTAAAATCGTCGGTATCGGTAAGTTACCGACAGCTATCGGTACGTATCTGTATATAGTAAGCACGTGTTGATTGTTGTTGTCATACTTACCGATCGGCCCTATGGCAGATATCGCAAATTTGTACCGACGACTCTCGGTATCTCTACCGTGAGGTTAACAAGGGCACGGTAGAGATACCGATCCTCGTCGGTACAAATTTGCGATATCTGTCATAGGGCCGATCGATAACTATGACAACAACAATCAACACATGTTTACTATATACAAATACGTACCGATAGCTGTCGGTAACTTACCGATACCGACGATTGTACAGAATAGCGCCCCAGGGGTGCTATTCTGTAAAATCGTCGGTATCGGAAAGTTACGACAACCCTCAGTGAACAATTAACACATTTTTACTATATACAAATACGTATCGAGAGCTGTCGTAACTTACCGATACCGACGATTTTACAGAATAGCACCCCAGGCGAGTGGGTTCCGGAAGAAAACGGAAGACAAATGCAATTGACGACCGCTTTATTGTCCTGAATACTTTACGAAATCGTAGAATTGCAGCGTTTCAGAATCAACATCTGCTACAAGCCGTGCGTAGAACTCAAGTCAGTGAAAGAACAATCCGACGAAGACTAAAAGAAAACAGCTTGTCTGCAAGGAGGCCTACAACAGGACCCCAGCTACGTCCAAGACATCATCGAGTACATCTTCAGTTTGCGCGTTTACATATCAATTGGGATCAAACCAAACCAAACAATGGACTAAAGTCTATGGACTAAAAGTTGATTATTTATACATAAAACTTTCTGCCTGCGAAGCATTTTTCCGAGACGTTCGTTTTAAAGCAGCGTCTCTCCAATACAAACAGAGATAATGTCGTGATTGAAAAAATAAAATGCTCACAAAAGATGAGGCTACAATGTGATTTGATTTAGCAATAGCTACTACAGCTGCTGCACCCTACAGGGTGTTACAAAATTCGGGCAAAAAACTTTGTCTTATTGTTGTGCCCTCTATATGCTCAAAATAAATTCGGACTAAAAATTTCTGCCGTAGCATCCGTTAAGAAGGAATTAATTTACAATTTAAAAAAAAATTATCAAAATCTAATGAGTGGTTCGCGAGAAACCCAACTCTGAAATTGGGACTAGTTTTAAGTGACCGGTTCACTTCACTTCATTCGACACGAGTATTGTAGCCAGCGTTCGGAAAACTACATACATATTACTCTTAAAAACTAGATAAAAAGTGGCTCACACCTATAACTTTTTAGATTTTATTTTTTCAGATAAAAAAACGAGATTTGGTATGTTAGTATATGACATAAATTGGGATTGATTGACGTATTCAATTTGTTCCTGTTTCACCGGAAATGACTACAACTTGTGATTTTTAAATGGCACCCTCGGTATTTTATTACTTTATTTGATAGAAAATGACATTCTGAATAGAATGACATATCATATGTCAACTTTTGAAATTTTCGCTTAATAAAAAATCCTATTTTAAAATTCAATCTAGAGTGCTATGGGTATGTTAAAAACACTAATTCTTAATCAAGTTGCCTTGGAAAAATAGATTTGATCGTCTAATGTTTTAGTGTCTTGTCCTGGCAGTTCAAAAATGGTCAAATCGTATTTTTAATCATATCTCAATTTTTTCAAATGGAACGAGGGTGGCTCATTAGCATATTTGGAAAAAGCATTTTTTTACGAATAATTTGAAGTTATAATTGCAAATAAACGATATGCGAAAATTTCAAAAGTTGACATATGATATGACATTCTATTCAAAGTGTTATTTTCTATCGAATAAAGTCAGTTCCGGTGAAACAGGAAGTGACTGAAAACAATTGAATACGTCAATCAATCCTAATTTATGTCATATAGTAACATATCAAATCTCGTTTTTTTAATTGAAAAAATAAAAAAGTTATAGGGGTGAGCCACTTTTGAGATGCACCCGGTAAGATAATTTTAATATATTGTCACAATATTATGTTATTCATTATATTCTGCTTTTATGTGAATTGATAATTCTTTAATTAAATAAATAATTTGTACCTTACATCCTTACATGTTTTATCAAAATTAACATTTTTATTTATAGGATTTTTTTCTATCGTAATAAAAATACGTAGTTTATTAAAGTAGTTTCCATGTAGTTAATGAACAAGAAAAGACAGAGTTTTCACAGAAAAACTACACGTACTTAATTAGGTAGATTACGTCTTAATTAACTACCTCCGAACCCTGATTGTAGCCACACGATTAGATTTTTACAAATTTTCAGTTTTGGGTTCGTTGTAGGACTATTAGAGAGGTACAATTTAAAGTTATTTGCAATAGGTACAGGGTGTCCTAAATAAATAAAAAATATCAAAAGTTGTATTTTTTAAATGGAACATCCTGTATATTATCACATTTTTAGTTTCTACGATTAAAATAAAGGTAAATTTAATTAAGGTTTACCGCACTTTTGGACTTATTTGAAAAACGGTAAAGATTAAATTGTGTTTGTTTTATCGAGATCTACCAACCCTGAAAATATTTGCACATATTTAAGACTCACCCTGTACGTATTAAATCACATTAAATACGCAAGTTCCTTAGTTTTCTTGTTTAGTGCGTGTAACAGTGTCTAGAAAGTGTATGATCTAAGCTGGAAGATAGGGAAAGGAATAATGGGTGTTTCCAAAGGTAGTATAACGCTAGAAAATTAGTAGGTTTAAATTTGCAACCCGGAAAGGGAGAGGTTGACGTGACTGAAACCTATATAGGATGGCCCGGATTAACAATAATCAATATTCCGTAGACATGGAACTACTACGTATTTTTGAGCTATATTTAGTTCATTGGACACAATTTACCTCTATAGTGCTTCGTTTGTCCGCCAGAGGCCATCAAACTTGAAAAAAATAAACACGTTTTTTCAGATATTTTAAGAACCGTTTATTCCGATTTGAATGAGATTTGGGATGTCTATGTTTTGATAAGTGCTTTAATATTTGACTTTCACAAAAATCAAGAAAAATACGGGAACGGTGAAAACTACCCCCACCCCTACATAAATTTTAGTATAAATATTTTCCAACACCACCGATAACTAACTAACTAACAGATTTTCTTTTCGTGAAATGACCTCTCTAGTATGTATCACATTTTTTGTCTCTTGCAAAAAACGCCACATTGCACATTTTTTAAGAAAATTTTTTGGAGAATTAATTTTTCCAAAGCAGGCTCACAATATACAGGGTTGTTCACCACATACGACACGGAGTATTGTAGCTAAACGATTAGATTTTTACAAATTGTAAGTTTTGGGTTCGTTGAAGGACTATTAGAGCTACAATTTGAGTGTATATAGGGTGTTTCATTTAAAAAAATACAACTTTGATATTTTTTTAAATAAAACACCCTATATATTATTACATTTTTAGTTTCTACTATTAAAATAAAGGTAAATTTTATTAAGGTTTATTACACTTAAACCTTACTGTTTTTGAAATATTTTCAATTTTGTGAAATTGCAGTATGAATTTTAAAGCTTCATTTTTCCGAGGGTATCAAAGTTTTTAATACTAAATATTTACTGAAGCTTATTTATTGATCAGTTATTGTGTTGCAATAATAAAAACTTTACTACCTTATACAGAGTGTCTAAAAATTTATTTTAAATAATTACTAGCTTTAAACGGCAATAACTTGTTGAATTTAAATATAACACACTGTATATTTTATAAGAATCAGATGCACAATTTAATTGTGTATCAAACTGCATTATACAATTTTTATCTTTCTCTTCAAGTTTCCGTAGAAAATGCATTTTATTGTAATTTAGAACTCATTTATCAATATACCCATGGAATACTGACATTTTAGATTATTTTTAAAGATGTACCAAATTTTTAAAAGAAAGAGTACAGATACTAATATTGTCGATATAGTTCGTTTATTTCATTAAAAAATAAAAAAAACTGTTTAAATATTTGTTAAAGAGGACCAATTAATATGATTCCAGTATTCAAACTACATTAATTGACTGTTTGCGTTGATTAGTAATAATTGCTACAAATACTAAAAAACAAAATTATGTATGTGTATTAGACGGTGTGGTAAAAAGTAACACCTTAATAATGATATTTAATTTGTTGACAAATGCTTATTTATAACAACAGACACGTTTATTTTCATAACTTATTATTATATTGATTTCTGATTCAAATCCACATTTATTTAGAATAATTTATTAACGAACA